ATTGTGTGAGACAGAAACAAACATTCTTTTTATCCTTCCACTTTGTCAGTGGTGGTAATTTGATATCCACCTGTTACTGTGTCCATCTGTACTGCAAGACTAGTGCAAAACTGTAATATCATACAATGTTTACTTTTCATAATGAACAAAAACAAGTTGGAGTCTGGTTTGTACTTTACTTATGTATTCCATAAAAGAAACAGCAGGCACAGCATTTCTAAAACTGTTGAGCATGCACACTAAACCGTAAACAACACTGTGGATAATTCATCCCAATTCAAACTAAACACACACAAATGCAAAATGTTAGGGCAGTGTTTCCCAGCAATACACATTTTCAACCTCTCCCTAATCAAACACACCTGAATCAGCTTATCAAAACATTAGAAGAGACTTCAAAAACCTGAAATGAATGAGTGAGATAAGGGAGACATCTAAAATATGTACTGTTAATGTGCCTCCAGGAACAGGGTTGGGGAACAGTGTTGGAGAATATCCAGAAGTGCCCTTCTTAATGATGGATATGATCGTAATGGGCGAGGCAGAGGAAGTCGTGGCTGTGAATGTTTTATAATGTTTCAAACAATATTAACAGGGCATTAGTTCATCTTTAAGCTCAGTAATGCTGTGTGAGGAGTTTTTCCAGCACAATTGTGCCACAATGTGTGCCTTATGAATAAATCATCTCTCTGGCTACATCTGAAAAGACATTGGATCTTCATAGTCGTGTGCTTATTATCAAATGAAAAAATATTCTATAAATTAAACGCAGTGCTTCGCCCTGAGAGTACAAAAATGAATTAACATACAAAAAAAATAATAAAAATTCATAAAAAATTAAAATACAAACCGAAAAATTTACTTTTTTTGCCAGTTTATTCATTCATTTTTACTGACGTTTCAGATAACTATAAAACTAAACTGAAGAGCTGTGCAAAACTGAAATACATGTAAAACACCTGCAAAAAATGTATACAGATAATGGCTTCATATTAATACATTGCATTATTTTTATATTACAACTAAAAAACTTTTTGGTCTAGAAAATTATATATATATATATATATATATATATATATATATATATATATATATATATATACTCACACAGTTGAAGTCAGAATTATTAGTCACCTTCGATTTTTTTTCTTCTTTTTAAAATATTTTTCAAATGATGTTTAACAGAGCAAGGACATTTTCACAGTATGTCTGATAATATTTTCTCTTCTGGAGAAAGTCCTATTTGTTTTATTTCGGCTGGAATAAAAGCAGTTTTGTATTTTTTATCAACCATTTTAGGGACCAAAATTACTAGCCCCTTTAAGCTATATTTTTCTCTATAATCTACAGAACAAACCACTGTTATATAACTTGCCTAATTACCCTAACCTGCCTAGTTAACTCAATTAACCTAGTTAAGCCTTTAAATGTCACTTTAAGCTGTATAGAAGTGTCTTAAAAATATCTAGTAAAATATTATTTACAGTCATCATGGCAAAGATAAAATAAATCAGTTATTAGAAATGAGTTATTAAAATTGTTATATTTAGAAATGTGTTGAAAAAATCTGCTCTCCATTAAACAGAAATTGGGGAAAAAATAAACAAGCGGTCTAATAATTTAGGCGGGCTAATAATTCTGACTTCAACTGTGTGTATATATATATATATATATATATATATATATATATATATATATATATATATATATATATATATATATATATATATATATATATATGGCAACTCTACAATGTAGAGTTACCAGAAACTTGTAGTATTGTCAGCTAAGTGAACGAGTTGTTCATAACGGGGATTCATTCACAAACGAATCGCTCCCTTCATCAGAATGAGAAGTGAAAGCTGGAGAGGAGGTGTGTTTCAGGACATGGATTAGACCAAATTTAAAAGGTAGGGAAGATAATTTCCATGCACACAAGCTCTATTAGCAATGCCCGTGCGATCACTTATCTATCGATGTAGAAAAGTGATGTAAAATTATACTTTTCATCATTTAAAAAAATATTTGCATACTGACCTTCGGGAAAACTCCTGATCATAGATATACAGTTGAAGTCTCTCTTCTGTAGATTATCTAAAAAAAAATAGCTTAAAGGGACTAATAGTTTTGTCCTTAAAATGGTGTTTAAAAAATTCAAAACTGTTTTTATACTGGCCAGAACAAAACATGTAAGACTTTATCCAGAAGAAAAAATATTGTCACACATACTGTGAAAATTTCCTTGCTATGTTAAACATCATTTGGGAAATATTTAAAAAAGAAAAAAAATTTCAAAGAGGGGCTAAAAGTTCTGACTTCAACTGTATATATGTGTATATATCTCTGACTTTGGGTGGCCAGTCCTATTGTCCAGTCCAGTTATTGTCTACACCTGCTCAACAGAAAGAGCTGCGATTGGCTTTAGAAATGAAAGCACTGTTCACCGATGCAGGAAGAACAGCTGCGGTTAAAGTCTGTATGCCCATAATACGTCCCTGAGTGATGCAATCTCAGCTTGCATCATAAAGGCTGCATCCAGATACTATTCAAGAGGAGAGGAAAAGTTACCTCACAAACTGGCCAGCGGGTCAAATATCCAAAGTGAGAGATAAAGCTGGAGTTGTACAGCATTTCTTCGTAGTAGTGAAATACGTTATTTACTCATGTGCTGTGCCGCCTTCATTGTAGTAAGAGCGTTATTTACTCGCCCTCGCCTGCTTCGCCATAGTATTCTACTGCGATGTCGCGCATAGGAGATAAATGACGCCAGTACGTAATAACCGGTTATGATCTATTACTAAACCAATATCAATAATGGCCCGTTTCCACTGAGTGGTACGGTACGGTTTCAGTTTGGTACGCTTTTATGGCCGTTTCCACTGTCAAAAGGCGTACCGAACCAAACCATACCGTACCACTTTTTCGGGACCCTTTCAAAAGGTCCCAAACACAAGAAAGGGTACCAAAAGGTGGAGCTAGACTCGCAGCTGAACACTATTGGTTTACAGAAGACATGCGTCATTCACTTACAACAAGCCAGAATGTAAACAAAGGACCCGCCATGTTTGAAATACACAGCGAGAGATTACAGCGGAATTATATATTCATATATCATCGTCCTGATGAACAGCCACACAGCCATGGAGTAGAGCAAAATTTACCCTGTGCCTCGCAGTTTTTTTTATGAGCCAGTCTGATGCGTGAGCGGTTTCGCTGTCTTCCTTGCGGTTGCCGCGCGTCTAATGTTATATCTGAAATAACAAACTTATTAATAATAAGTATAGTTCAAAATATGAACTGGGAATGATGGAATGACTCTCTAACAGAGGCTACATGACGTGCTGCTGAAGATTACAGACACAGATGAGAGGTTTTCACTGACTGTGGGCTATACTTTGTGTTGTTTTGAACCTAATTAAGAACGAAATGTATGATGTGAGTAGTTTTTCTGTAGTTGGTAACATATCGGAGACTGTATGGGGCTGTATGTGTTCATATATGTTCATTTATTTATTTATTTATTTTATATAATTACAGACGTTACAGTAGGCTATTTCACACCGTCATTGATCTGCAGTTATAATCAACTCCTGTTTATAGAAAAGTTAGTAATAAACATTTATACAGAAGTATTTATGTGTATGAAGCATCTGTTTTGTTAGAAGTGCTTTTAATATGATTTGTGAATGACCTGTGCAGCTGTACTGTAGACATTTCCTCGAGCGAGAGTGATGCGACTGAAACTTTCTGTCTTGCACCACGCCCTCCAAAAGGGTACCCTTTATAGTGGAAACGCAAGCCTGATAAAGGTGACCCGTACCGACCCGAACCGTACCGTACTGTACCAGTCAGTGGAAACGAGCCATAATTTTAACACCCCTAGTAAAGAGTAGCGATGCAGCATATAAAAAATCTATCAGAGTAAAAGTATTAAACTCATCGAAAATATGGACTGAAGTAAAAGTGGAAGTAGGAGGAAAAAAAAACAATACTCCAGCAGAGTACAGATACAGCTTTTTAGTACTTAAGTACAGTAGTGAAGTAGTTCTACTTTGTTACTATACATCTCTGGTTGGCAAATTATTCCATTGTGCGACCCCTGATAATTCAGGGACTAAGCCGAAAAGAAAATGAATGAATAAATGAATGAATACTTTCCTAATATATTCAATTTGGTAATATACTAATTTTTGCACCAAGATCTTCAGTTATTTTATTTGATTAGCTTCAGTACTGGCAAATGCAATGTGTACAGTGTGTACACGCATATGTAATTGTATAGTATTCTATTGACCTCATTCTCCAATGTGGAAGTGCGCTCATTTCTGTGATTGTCCTAGAACCTTTGATTGAGTTGCCTATGGGAGAAACCACTAGGAATAATAAATATCAGATAATGGTCAAACTACTGGCTCTACAAACAAGTGTGTTCATTACTAGACATAAAAAGTAAAAAAAATATAATGAGAAAATATCAGTTTGCAACATAAGTGGGTATCGCTGTCGCCTCACAGCAAGAAGGTCGCTTGTTCGAGCCTCAGCTGAATCAGATGCACTATAGATTTATTGAATAAGCTAATTTGGCCGTAGTATGTGTGTGTGTGTGTGTGTGTGTGTGTGTGTGAGTGAGTGAGTGAATGAGTGTGTATGGGTGCTTCCCAGTGCTGGGTTGCGGTTGGAAGGGCATCCGCTGCATAAAACATATGCTGGAATAGTTGGCAGTTCATTCCGCTGTGGCGACCCTTGATAAATAAGGGAATAAGCCTAAGGAAAATGAATGAATGAATGAACATCAAGCAGCATGACAAGCTGTTTTTAACATCTAATGAAGTCTCAAGCTAAAAGATTCAAACGGCGGCCTGCTCAAACATTAAGAATAAGGTCAATAGAATGTATTAATTAAAAAGAAAGATATGTAAGGAGTGTATCTCATTTATGCTGGGCACAGTATACTGTATATACACATATAGCCAAAAAATATTTATTTACACACCTAAAAATAAAAACCTCCTGCATTAGATTGTTTATTGAGAGATTAAACACTTACTTTCATCAGCTTCAGCTTCCATGTACAGGTTTTAGATTTAGAGTTCATTTTACTTGGGGAAAAAAAGTGTAGAATTCAACATTTCTGTCTACATAATGCTGTAAACACAGAATTAAGACTCAAGAATCATCTCAAGAATGCCTGTCCTGGACAAGCTGTGGATTGTCAATGCCTGTTTTGCACTTCTCATTGAATATTTCAGGCTGTGTTCCGCTCCTTATTTTGAGATGCACATGGTCTAGATATCACACTTCGAAACTGATCTCCCTTGAGCGTCCAAACAGAGGCTCAGTGAGGAGGTGCGTGTCTGAGAAGCTGCGTCTCAGCTGTGTGGAGCTCCTGGTGGTTTTGATGGCCACTTCATATGGCGGAGGAGGCTCCAAGTCCCAGTGAGGCGGCCGGACACGACTGGTAGGACTGAAACACGTTGGCTCCATTGGTGGATAGTCCAAATCTTCACCGTATACACCTCGTCTTTGCAAAGTCCTACAACACACAAGAACACCGTACAATTAAATGACAAAACGTGTATCTAAAATACTTTTTGAAGTGATTCTTGCAGTTTTGATAAATTCCAGTGTTATGGATGGGACATTTGCCGTTAACAGCATATTGAAACATCTGTAACACACTTTACAATAAGGTTTCATTAATCAATAGCCGCGTTTCCACTATCACGCCTAAAGCGAGCCAGCCAGGGCCAGTCGCATTTCCACTGTCACTTCCAGGGCCTGATCGGACCAAAGCGGAGCTTTCTTGGGGCCAGCTGTCACGGTCGGTGAGGGGAAAAAAGGGGACGAGGACCCAAGCGCAAAGTGAATAAGTATTTATTTATAACAAAATAAAATAAACGGCAAAATAAACAACCCCGAGGGGGAAAGACACTAAAAAACAAATAGACAAACAAACTTGGCAGGGCTGGACACAGCAGGACAGGGAAAAATTGACAACGAACTGCCACAGGACAGCAGACATGAGGAGTTTATAAACTGTAGGAAATTTAACACATAATTAACTAATAATGGGTTAACAAGGAGGGTGGGACTTGACAATAGACGGGAGAGCGCATGACACAGAGACAACACATGCTTCATCTCAGCGTCAACCAAAACCGAAAGCAACTAGACGAAGACGCTGAGAATAAAGCAGCGCGATGCTGACAGAACAACACAAACACAAGTACAAGAGCGCGCACACGGAGACACACACAATGACAGCAACAAGTGCTCGACCCAAGAAAACTCGAGCCGAGCACAACAGGACAGGACTAGACATGACTAGTGTCCAGACTTTGCCACTTAAACAAGAATTTACATGACCAGAGTGGCAGAACCCTGACACCAGCGACCAGCCTTTTTCGGCCCGCCGAATACCTTGGGCAAAAGAGGGCCAACTGGGGCTTCAGGGCAGAGTGAAAGGAGAGGCGGACTTTACCAGAGTCTGTTAAAGATGGCGTGCCGTCATTACACTAGTTTTCCGACCGCACACGAGTACATGTGCCAAACAAATAAATAAATAAGGGAAAAAAACATAGCTGAAGTTTAACCTTATAGGCAAGGGGTCTTTTTGCTTATAATTGCCCTTATGTTTCCCTTTTAAATGTAAGGCTGTTGCATAAAATAATAAAGTTTTAATTTATATGTGAGTTTTCTTCACTGCGTTCTCTGTGTTATAATTACACACAATAATATTAAAAACACAGCAGCCAGTAAATGTTGTCGAGAGTTTTTGTCAAGTTTAAAAGGTGTGTTTGTGCCAACACAATCTCACGGCAATTCGTAACTTTTTGTTTTAGTGGCTAATTCGTATGAGTTCGTACGATCTTATTCATACATTTTAGTACGATTTGCTCATCCCCCAATGACGGTTGGGGTTAGGGGTGGGGTTAGGTGCCATGCCTCATTTTTAAAATCGTACAATTTCGTACGACTGAATTCGTACGAATTCTCCACTAAACTGCCAAAACGTAAAATACTTACGTTTTCTCGTGAGATCAGGCTGGTTTGTGCATGATACGTGCGCGTTAGATGCGTGTTTGTGAGACCGGGCATAATCGCTTCTTTTTAATTTATTTTGGAGATAATACAAAATATGAACACTACAGAAAGACATCAAACTTTACAAATTACTTGTCTACTTTTGTAGGCTCAAAACAATAGTGTCATATCTCAATAAAATAGCTATATTGAAATAATTGAAAGAATTACAAATATCGGATATAAAAAAATCACATTAAATAAATAAACTAATTTAAAACAAACAAAAGCTATAACAATGTAGGTTTATACAATGCAGAAATTAAACAATTTTTAAGCCATATTTAACTTTCATTTTACAAAGACTGAAAAAAAAGATTTTAGATATTTTCTAAAAACAATAAACATATTAAAAGGGTTTAAAATAATATTTATTAAGTATTTGTATCCAATGATATTAATCAAATCGTGCAAACAGAGCATTTTTGGGTGAGTGAAAGCAGAAACAACTTTTTTTCTGTCACCCAGTCCTATGCAGCGCCGCTTTACAAACGCATCGGGGAAAACTGCAAATACAAAATGTGTTCTGTGTCCTCAAATGAATGATTATGATTCCATATGACGTGGTAAAATTTTAAAATGAAATTTTAAATACATGAAGAGCTTTATTAGTGAAAAGCTGCTGAGAACAACGAAATTCATTTATTCATTCATTCATTTTCTTGTCGGCTTAGTCCCTTTATTAATCCTGGGTCGCCACATCGGAAAGAACCGCCAAGTTTTTACGCAGCGGATGCCCTTCATCTCTGGGAAAACATCCACACACACTCTTATACACTACTGACAATTTAGCCTACCCAATTCCCCTGTACCGCATGTCTTTGGACCAAGGGTAAGGCAAGGGGACCTGATGATGGCATGACATGTTGTTTTTTTAAGGATATTTGCTGAGGAGCTCACACCAGCCTGGCATCACCTTTTTCAGCTCTTAATCAATATGCATACAGTGCAAGACTTAAAAAAAAAAAAAAATCTATAGTAATTCCTATCCAAACAAATGTGTGTCCACAGAACAATAATGACTATAGTCCAGTGGCCCTAACATCAAATCTTATGAAATCATTCATTTTCCTTCGGCTTAGTCCCTTTATTCATCAGGGGTCACCACAGTGCAACTCATGCAGCATTTGTTTTACACAGCAGATGCCCTTCCTGCTGCAACCCAGCCCTGGGAAACACCCATTCACTCTCATATTCACACACATTCACTATCATTCTTAGATCAGTAATCATTTTGCCTATAAAAGTAAGGGTGCCACTAAAGATGCAATATCTACATTAAAACATCTTGTTTTAAAGTTGCATGTTATATATATGTTGTCTTTCATTGGTGATGTACGTAGGGCTACACAATATATAGTTTGAGCATCGATATCGCAATGTGTGTATTTGCACATCGCAGGATTAATGTCTGTCTGTCTGTTTGTTTGTGTATGTATGTATTTATTTATTTATTATTTTTTTATTTATTATAATTTAATTTAGCCGGCAGATAGCTCTCTACAACTCTCACATGGTTACCATGGTTACCCACTAAAGGTGTGCCCTCGACCCAACCCCCGCTTTTTGGTACAGTCCGGCCAGCTATTTGGTACAGTCCCCATGCGCACCAAACCCAACAAGCAACCATCTCCATTCCCGCACCCCGCTCTTCAGTTCAGCCAACCACCAGCATCAAACCGCACACACCCACCCCCTTGGTCTCCCGGATTTTATGAACCAAACGTTGGCAGGTTTGCATCAGAAAGCTAGGTAGTGGTAGTGAGGCCTCCTTTCTACCAATCAGCTGGTGTGTGGTGTGTAGTCTGGGACATTATGGCTGCCGTTGCTTCATCCAGATGGTTGCTACACAATAGTGGTGGAAGATGAGATTACCCCCAATGTGTAAAGCACTTTGAGTATCTAAAAACACTATATAAATGTAAGGAATTATTATTAGTAGATGCACTGCATAGAAAAAGACTTGATCATCCCAGTCAATCTAAATGAATAAAATATTTCCAAATAGACCTTTTAAATCAACTGGTTAAATTATATTCATATAGCATTATATTCATTCATTCGTTTTCATGTCAGCTTAGTCCCTTTATTAAACAAGGGTCGCCACAGCGGAATGAACTGCCCACTTATCCAGCAAGTTTTTACACAGCGGATGCCCTTCCAGCCGCAACCCATCTCTGGGAAACATCCACACACACATTCACACACACACACTTATACACTACGGACAATTTAGCCTACCCAATTCACCTGTACCGCATGTCTTTGGACTGTGGGGGAAACCGGAGGACCCGGAAGAAACCCACGCGAAGGCAGGGAGAACATGCAAACTCCACACAGAAACGCCAACTGAGCCGAGGTTCAAACCAGCGACCAGCCATTTCCACCCTGGTCTTAGCTGGTCAGGCTGGAAAATGACCAGCTAAATCCAGCTAAAACCAGCTTGACCAGCCTGGTTTAAGCTGGACATAGCTGGTTTGGGCTGGGCTCCCAGCCTGGCTAGGCTAGTCAAGCTGGTGTTAGCAGGTCATCTCCCAGCCTGACCAGATAAGACCAGGCTGGAAATGGCTGGAGCAGGAGCAGACTCTTAAGTAATCTAAGTGATTTTTAATGACATCCCAGGGTGAAAGAAAGGAAAGAGAGATGACACAAATCCAGAGGGAATAAGGGTTATGGGTGGAAAAGTAAAATTATCCCTGCTAGCTCTTATAAAAAGCTGAAAGAAATATAAGTGTGCATTATTTCATAGAAAAAAAAAAGCTAGAGATATTTATGCATCCATTTTTAGTCATTTATATGAAGGAGAATATAGAAATTTTTCAAGGTTTTCTTTTTTTAGGTCCTTGATTTCATTTTACACTGCAAATGTCATAAAATGTCCAATATGTTTTTAAGACATGGGGTAAAATCCACTAGAAAATCAGATTAACAACTAAGCTGAAACATAGCGGAGGGCTTAAATACATCAGAAAACAAAATCAAAAAGTAACAGAACAGATGCAAGGTAGTTACCATCTAGTGGTGGAAAGTGAGAAAGTGCAAGTAGAGCAAAAGTATACCTTTTAAATACTACTCAAAGTATGAATAAAATGTAGCCCTTAAATAATAACAAATATATATATATTGTTGTAAACCTGTAAGACCTGAAATATCAAAAATAACATTTTCTGGAACTGATATGTTTTTTATACTATCAAGCAAAATCAAAAGAAAAATGCTATATACATACATCAGGCATTTTGTGCAACAATTTTTATTTTATTTACAAATATATATATATATATAAATATATATATTGCCCTTAGTATTTTGACAACGGAGAACATTCCAGGCAGTTTTTCTCTGTTTTTTTTTTTTTTTTTGCATTAAATATTTTACAGTGTTTTATTATTTCACTTTGTGGTAGGCATAAAAGCAGTTTCAGCCCTTGTTCAGGCAAGGATTCACTTT